AAAAAAACAAAGAAAATACACAAATCAAAAATCAAAATAAAATGAAAGGTAGCAGAAGAAGAATAAATCTTATAATGTCTGCCCCTTTTATCCCCAGAATATATTCAAACAAAACATAATTTACAAAACAATACAAATAAAAGTAAAAACATCAACTCAAACAACAATTCATATATCTCATTTTACTTTTCCATATACCTTCAGAAACCTAGCTTTTATCTGTCTCTTAAATATATACATTGATCTGGCATTTTAAAGATAATAATAAGAAAATAAATGATGATAAAGAGTCAATCAAATTAATAGGCTTTTTTTCTAGCATCAGGTTTGCAGCTTTACAAACATGAAAATCTATTTTCTTGTATTTRTGTTCAGCATGCAAAACAAAAGAAATATTTTTTTGCCTGGAAGTTTTCAGGCTTTGTCAGAAAACAGCGAGGAGTTACAGAGCGTGTAGTTTTATTACATGCATGGAGAGCGCCTCACAACCAGAAGGTCGGAACATTTACCGAGACCTTCCTGTGTGAAAGCTGCACATTTTGCCTGCATGCCTTCTTTTTTTGTTGTTTTTTTCCCTCCGGCTGCTCTCGTTTCCTCTCTCAGTCCTCAGTTATGCATGAAAGGTTGATTAGTCATTCTAAATTGGCTGTTTGTGTGAGCGTGCACGGTTGTCCGTCACTGTCGCCGTGACATGCCCTGCATCTGTTTGGCTCCTGAAGTCAGGTGGAATAACATAGAATTATCTTCCTTCCACAAGTCGTACAATAGACTCGGTCCCTGGTCCGTCGTAAGATTTCCCATGACCTGTCTTTTTCCCCACTCTTAGGCTCAGTCCCTCCATCCGTGAAATCTCTCTCTCCCTTTTCTTTTCTTGTTTTTGGTAGAGGCAGTGAAACAGAAACCAACAGGACCAGAAGGAGCGATGCTCAGACGTGTAATTTTATCCTTGACTGACCTTACCAACATCAGACTGCAGATCATCATGTTTGACTGGGCTTTGGTCAAAGAAACCTTGCTGCTTACCCAGAATATATTTAGGTTTGAATATACATTGGTGTTGTCTGATAAACCTCACATCTGTGTCCAGCGGTCACTAGAGGAATGCTTGTTTTCTTAGACATTTTTTTTTCCATGGTGACAAGTTTTTACGATCCCACAATCACTAAAATGAACTAAGCAGTGCTGTACAGAGTGGTAACAGGGAATTTTCAAGGCAAAAATTTGTACCGTTAACTCTGAAAAGGAGAAAATTATGTTGGAGAGTGAAAGTGACKTTAAAACAATGAGAACCCTCTTTTTGTATGGAGCGATGATAAAACACACAAAAAAGGGCTCATTTTTAAATACACTGTACACTTTTGTGTCAGCGCAAACTCCACTGTCTACCATTAGGGAACATTTAAACACATCTTTTTCAACTAGGGCTGGGCCATATCATATCATTCATGATAAACTTGTCCGGGAAAATAAATATTTCATGATATGGTAATTTCATGACCGACGTCATTTTGCCCATGTTGGAGAACCTGCTTGTTTTCTGTTGCGGTCTCGTTAAAGCCGCCCAGCCACAGCTTTATCCAATCAGAGCAGAGCAGGGCGGGTCTTTCTGATGTGGGTAAAGTAGTCAGGATAAACACCGGTCAGCCTGCAGCTCCTGTCCTGAGTGAGCAAACCCCGTCCTCCACACTTCGCTCCCAAGCTACCCGAGATGTTGGTATCTAAAATCTAACACACTATAAGTTTATGTGTTCAGAGCGTCGTTTTCTAACAGATACGTCCATCTTTTCTCACATGACCTCTCTTCAACAGCAATGTTATGGGAGCGAGGTGCACGCAGGTTGAGTTGTTCTGAGAGCTGCTGCTCTTCCAAAACATTAACTCAGATGAACACTTTGCCCCAGTATAGAAAAGATGAGTCTCTGCTYAGCTTTAGCGACTCCACCRCAAATAAAAGCTATGTTCTTACCATAAATGTCTACAAATTTCATTCTTCACAATATATCTTGTTTATATTTAGAAGCATACTGTGACTGAACTGCTCTGTGATTCAATAAATGGTCAAATATGAAGAATACATATTATTAAACGATTACATGAGCTCTCTAAATAATATCATTTTGAAAGCAATAGTTATTTTAATAGCAAAATCAGTCAGTCTAACAAATTTAAAAAATGTATTTAAGTTATTTTGTGCAGTACAAAAGACATATTTGAGTTTTTTTTATCTAAAATTATAATACATGTGTTTGTTTGCACTGAAACATTATGAAGATGGTTAAATATTTGCATGACTATATCTGACTCAAGTTTTGACAAAAATGTTTTTTTATTAAATATATTAAAAACACTAAAATGGCAAATATAAACTACAGAAAAGCTGTTCAAAATCAAACTCTTCCTTCCTTTGGTCCAAATGGTTCAGGTTAAAATTTTTGTATAATGCTTCGTTAGAGAATACTAAACTGTGTACTTTGACTGAGAACATAAACACAGTGTAGTGTTATGACTATACTGTACTGTGTACCTGTGTGTGAGTTATCGTGCATTTATCGTTATCGAGGTAAACTGGTTAATATATTGTGATATTGATTTTAGGCCATATTGCCCAGTCCTATTTTCAACTCATTTAGCCAAAATAGTTGCATATTTTAATATAGATATAATTAAAACAGTAAACACGCTTCATTTTTTTAACTTTAACATTACATTAATGCTTGTTTTCATGCCGGTTCATCATTTATGCACACCTCATGTTTAACCAGCAGGTTTCGTCCTTTAGGACATTCATTTTATTCAACTAATTACTGTATAACAAGATGTGTTTTAATTTGACATGGTTGTTTTTTCTTCTCATTTCCACTCTATAACAGGACATTTTCTTTTTGTCATATACATATTACTGAAAATGTTTAGTTTTGTTTAACCTAATCTTCTATTTTTTTTTGTTCCAGAAATGACCAAATTTGACCTTTTCAGCTGCAAAATTAACTGGAAAGTCGTCACAAAGTGCACCCGTGTCTCCGCCCACGTTTAAACGAGGCACTACGCCTGCATTGAAATTCATGTCGAGGCAAAATGCATCTCAAAGTTCAGTGCAGTTTTGAACACGGCTTTAGCTTAAAATATTTTCTTTTATATGTCGCCTTGAGCCTGACGTGTTCGTGTCAGTCACATGTTGCAGTGATGACCTGCGTCCTGCTGTGTTTGCACCAGAACAATTAAAGCTGTTTGTGAATATGAGGCAGAAACGGAGGAGGCAGGGGGTATTTTGAAGGTAAACTATAACAGATAGCAAGGACACACTTTGAGGCATGCCGTGTCAATTATTTCGATATCAAAAATGCAAAACATATTTTTCTGCTGACTTTAATGAACGAAACAGCGATTTAGTGAATCTCGACTTTGATACCTCTCGATCAGCCAGCTCAGCCTGCAGCTGAGACACTTTCTCTCTCAGCTCTTTCAGCTCCTTCTTGGTGGACTCCACCTCGTCTGTTTTTTCCCTCTCTTCCCGCTCCCGCTGATCCTTCAGCCGCTCGATGATTCGCTCCTGAGCACGATGAAGGACAAGCAGGGCACAGTCAAAAGGTAAAAAGCAGGGAGAGGAAGGCAGGGCGTGATGGAAAAAGAGAAACATTAAAGACTTTTAAACAGCCATTCACAGTCACTTAATATCAAGTTTCTGTACTAATAACTGTCACATTAAACTTTATGCACATGGCAGCTTGGACAGGATCTAACAGCCAGCGCTGATTTTACACACGTAATGTCTTTTGGCCCTAGATGTAAAACTCACAACCACTAAAACACAAAGACTGAGCTCCAGCTAAAAGTACAAAAGTTCACTCAGGTAAAAGAAGCACCCAGAAAGTACACTGAGACTGCTAGGTGTGTTATTAAAATGCTCAAGTAGGGTTAAAATTAAAGTTGAAATAAAGTTTTATCAGTAAAAATGTAAATTAAAGTGGTTTTTTTTGCTTTGAAGTATCTTTAAAACAATTATTTAGGAGTAAAAAGAGTTGGCAGTTTTCTGCTCTAATTAAAAGAAAAAGAAGAAAAAACATCAAACAAATAAAACGACTTAAACATACTGCAAAAAAAATAAAGAGTAATAAACGGATTTAAAAACAAAGAAGACGGCACCAAAGAAGGGAAAAGACTTGGTCACACGTCTCACCAACACACTGAGTCACGGCTCCATTAATAACCCCGTTTCCTGTAATTTGCAACAGTCTGAGTTTGTAAGAAATGACTTGAAATAGTAGGAAAATAAACGCTAATCTGTTTACGGACACAAAAACCATCAGAAAGCAGCCTGAGGATTGAAAAGAAAAAGTGTTTTGAAGCTAAATATCCAGACGTAAACAGTAATCAATGGGCTACTTTGAGTCGAGTGGCTGCGATCAGCCTGTGAATAATTTAATATTAAAACAACCGGTGTGATTATTGGTCCTCTTCCATTTATCCAGAGTCAACATGTGGGTGGTCGGTGGTTTTGCTCATAAAGGTTTTATTAATGTAACCTCGCTCGTGCTTTGACCTGAGGTTGACCAGCAGCGGCTTGTTTTCCTACGCGCATCACTGTGAGTGTGTGTGTGTGTGTGTGTGTGTTTGTGTACCTTCTCGGCCAGAGCTTCCTCCAGCGTTCCCAGAGCGGTGTCTGTGTTCGACGTGTCCGTCTGCAGCGACTTGACTCGGTCCTTCAGTCCGCTCAGCTGCTTCTCCTTATCCCTCAGCTGATCCTGGAGGTTCTCGATCTGCAGAGAGAAACGCTCGTCAGCTCGATTCGTCATGCACAAGTCACCTGTCGACCGTTAAAGTGAGGTTTTCTTGGCTGGGCCGTGGGCTTTCAGAGGCTCTAAATTAAAGCACTGGAGCAGTTGATGCTCCAGATAAAACTAAGGTCTGATGAACAGCAAATATTTCACTTTTTGGCTGAATAGTTTATTATTTTTGCTTTAATATTTAGTCAAATCTCATAATCATTCCAGTGTTTTTACCAGAGTAAACTCTGAACACTACAGAAGTCAGAATAAAATACAGTTGGTTTCTTTTATTTAACTATATTGGTGAAATTCAATCAGCTAGCTTAGCCTGTAAGCCACATGCTAATAAGCCATGTGCTAAAAAATTACGAGTTTGGAAAAGAAAAATTAAATTAACCTGACAAACTTTTTAAAAGTTGTGCCTTTTTGTTCTTATTATGTCATTCAGTAAATGAGTAAACATATTTATAACTAATGTTGACTAGCCGTGGCAGCCATCTTGAATTAAATCAGTTTTACAAGCTAGCTGCTAAAGTATAAATTGGGGATGACTCTCAGCTCAACCACGCAAAACTTGAACAATACCTGTTAAATTGACAAAATTAAAGCCATTTTTTGTGCTTATCTGTAACAGCCAACTTCAACTGGACAGACTTTCTGAAAGATTCATTAAAATCCACCCAGTKGTTCATGAGATATTTTGCTGACACACACAAAACGGGGCCTTCTGCAGTAAGGCGATGATGACTGCTAATACCTAAAAGTTTATTATTCGTGTAATTCTTATCCCCCCCCTCCCCCCCAGCATTTGTTTCCGTTCACTTTCCTCCCCCCCTCCCATTCATCTGGAATCAAATTAACTTTCTGTCAAAGACACAAACACAGAAATCTCAGACTATAATAAATTTAACACGAGAGCTAACAGAGAGGTAACATTTCTCAACCTTAGCAGCTAACCTTCAGTCCAAACACACACACTCCTAACCCCACCTCCTCCCATCATCTCTCCGTCTCTTCTCGCAGTGATTAAGGAGCGGATTTATTTTCTGTTGAAACACAAAACCAGCAGACATAACTAAGTGCRTGTTTGGGAGAGAATTTCCTAAATGATGGAGCTTTAAAGGCTCAGATGATTCAGATTTTGCTGCGAGGTTAAGAGTGCAATGAWAGGTTGGTTTGCGACCTTTAACTCGACTGCAGGTGAAAGGCGCATTTCCGGTGTGCTCATACAGTAAAAGCTTCCCAGCACATCATTAATCAGCTGTTAAACTTGACAGCTTGACTGACACGTCCTCCTCCCCTCTCTACAGCACACACACTTTGATCTGGTGTGGATGTCCTGAAACTGACAGCTGCAGGATAACTGGGATGCTTCTGAACACGCAGACATGTATTAACTTCACTGATTTTAGTCCAAAAAGAGGAATCAGACAAACCCTTTCAGYACTAATTGGCTGCTCACACGTTGGTGATTTACTTAAGAATAATAAAAAAGCAGATAAAACCCCTAAAATTGAAATGAAAACACCGAATAAGGAGAAGAAATTAGGGAAACCAGAAGCAGACTGAATGCTGGGGGAATCAGCAGCATCAGCCGCTCCAGCTGTGAACTGTATTCTATTTGAAGACAGCAGAGGTCATCATTTATTAAACAAGAGGAAGTCATTAGTATGCATCGGATTTAAACACACTATGTGTCTCTCCTCCCCCTCCCTGCTCTGCTTTATGTCTGCTGGTATGAATGTCTGTATCGATTATTTGTCAGCAGCGGACATCTGCAGGATACAAACTGGGAGAAATGGATTGAGAAATAGGAAATGGTTGCAAGGAAAAATACACAAAAACAGCCTTTTTTTTTAAAGGAAAACCTGCCAAACTTGAGATAATTTAATATCACCACATTGTGTGTTATTATCATTTATTTTTTTCATGTCTCTTTCTGATGGATCTTTCCATGATTTCACCTATCTTTTCTGCTTTTGATTCAACTCTTTATGCTTTACTACACCACCATCTAGTGGTTAAAGACATGCATGGCAGCAAATCAGAATCACTGTTGCAGAAACATGGGAGCTTACTGTAGAGTCATTTGAAATTTCTTTTTTTTGTTTTCAGATTTTTATTCTTACTAGAGGAACTGTATGTTCTACAACAACGCTGTGTGAATATGAAACTGTGCTGAAGAAGTCTGAACTGAGCTGCCAAAGGAAAAAAAGGAAGAGAGAGTCTAACATGAGAGAAACTGTAACTAATGAGCAAAACTGTTGCTGATACAAGAAAAACGGTAGCTAATTTGAGCAAATCAGTAGAAAACTGAGTAAAACTGTACCTTCTATGAGCAAAATTATAGCTAATATGAGCAAAACTGTAGATAATTGAGTAAAACTGTAGCTACTATGAGCAAAATTATAGCTAATATAAGCAAATCGGTAGATAATTGAGTAAAACTGTAGCTACTATGAGCAAAATTATAGCTAATATGAGCAAAACTATAGCTAATATGAGGAAAAATGTAGCTAATATGAGCAAATCAGTAGATAATTGAGTAAAACTGTAGCTACTATGAGCAAAATTATAGCTAATATGAGCAAAACTATAGCTAATATGAGGAAAAATGTAGCTAA